CGAGTGTTGATGCAGTGAGTATTGGGTGGATTCTCTCTCTCTCTCTCTTTTTTGGCCTTTTTGGAGGTGACTAAGTTGAATTTCTTTTTTCAATGGGTGCAGGATATGAAGCCAGCGATGGTGAGTGAAAAGGAAGAAGAGAAAGTGAAGCACCGAAAAGAAGATTCAAGTAATGTGGGAGTTGAAGATAAGAAAGGTAAAGGGACAGCAGAAGAAAAGAGAATTGAGATTAAGGGGAGGAATACTGATCTTCAGCTTGATTTGGAAAAGCCTGAAAGAGATGGGAATGCTGTGACAGTTAACAAATTGAAGCAGCAATTACCAACTAAAGCTGCCAGAGAAGAACCACAAGCTGAAAAATATGGTAAGTCGATTTGGTGTTATCGGTTCCATGATCTAAAATCAATATTGGCTTTGTGTTCCCCCCACCCTAATTTTGAGGGATTCTTAATTTTTGTTTTAGGTCAATCCACGAGTTCTTTGACTTTGCCAGTGTCTATGGCTAGTTGGCCTGGTGAGCTTCCTCAAATGGGGTACGGCTGGATTCTATCATTGCTTTATAATGCTCATCAATTGGATGTTTAAGGATTAGATTTATGGTTTAAGTACTGGATTTTTGCCTAAATAACTCCTGTTTACAACAGCAGATACATGGCACCATTACAAGGAATTGTATCAATGGATGGAAATGCCGTTACGCCAGCACCAATTCAGGTAGTATCTTCTTTTGTCAAGGTGGATATTTGAGCTCAGGTATTTTCCTTTTTTGACTCTGGTTGATGTGAATTTGTCAGCCATTATTCTCTCAGCCTCGGCCAAAAAGGTGTGCAACTCATTGCTACATTGCTCAGAATATCCACTACCTCCAGCAATTGGCAAAGATGAATCCCTTCTGGCCTGGCTCTGCCTCGTTGTTTGGAACAAAACCTTGCAATCTTAATGTTGTGCCTTCTGCTGATCTGCTTGGAAACATGGCCGTTCGCGGTGTAAATAATGCACCTGATAAGAGGCAGGCTCCTGCTAATATCCCCAGTCACAATGGGAAGGAGAAAGGTTCTCAACCCCCTAATGCTTTGGATTCTGCTCAGAGGAAGCAGCAGATTTTGCTGCAGCAAGCATTACCCCAAGTGGCACCTAATAATATACTGGTATAGTGCTCTCCTCCAGAATTCTCTACCATTTACATTTATGGTTTTCTGGAACACAAGGAAATATTTTGTTGAATGTAATTTCTTGTCCAGGGACCAGCTTTTATCTTTCCGCTGAATCAGCAACACTCTGCTGTGGCCTCTGCTCGACCCAATACTGCAAAGCCTCCAACCACCATGGGCAGTGTAGCTTCGTCTAACATCTCCAATTCTGCTGCTGCTGCTAGTGCCTCTGCCACGGCTGGTGGAGCACCTACAGCAATGAGCTTCAACTACCCGAACCCCAATGAAACCCAATACTTGGCTATCTTGCAGAACAATGCTTACCCTTTTCCGATACCAGCCATGGGGGGCCCAACAAATTATCGAGGACCGCCTTCTCAGGCAATGCCTATGTTTAATGGTTCTTTCTATTCTTCTCAGATGATCCATCCATCACAAATTCAGCTCCAGCAGCCACCGGCCTCTCTGGCTCATCAAAATGCCAGCTGTTCATCATCTTCCCAGAAGCATTTACAGAGTCAGCATCCGAGGCCCCAAGGCAGCAGTGCCAATGGTGGGAGTGGGAGTGGAAGCGAAAACTTGCAAAACTTTCAGACACAAAGGTCCCAGCCTTCTCAGCTATCACAACAGTCACAGAATCACCATATAAATCCTCGGGCACGCCACCTTGAGAATGAGTTGTGCGGTGAAGATAGTCCATCGACTGCTGATAGCCGAGGCGCTCGAGCGCCAATGAATATTTATGGTCAGAATTTTTCTGTGCGAATTCATCCTCAGAATTTTGCTTTGATGACTCCTCCGGCTGCTTTGACTGGCACTGCCACCATCGGAAGTGGGAACCAGAGTGAGAAGCAGCAGCAACAACCACAGCAGCAGGGACTAAAGACCGGAGTAGATACACAGCCACCCCAAACTTTTCCTATGTCATTTGGTCTGATAAATGGTAATACTACCGGTCCAGTTATTGATATGACATCCATGTCACAAAATCAAGCAATCTTTCAGAGTTTCCCAGAGGCCACTCGACAAAACATCCAGATGATGGCAGCTGCTGCTACAGCTCAGAAGAAGAATTTTCGAATTTCTGAGGATGGTAAATCTGGAGGTGGTGATTCCTCTGCCACTGACGATGAAAAGAAAGGTTTGGTTGGGAAGAGTGAGGCTGGTGTTGGGCAGTCAATTGTGTTCACGAGAACGGATTTAGCCGATGCATCTGTTTCGTCTCGTACCAACAATTTGGCTACCATCAATCCGAGTGCTCACATGCAAGCTCCACTTCACCAGCAGCAATTGTCGGCAACTTTGGGTGCTCGGAGTAAAGCACCGTCGACCGCTAGTGGGAACATTTATTCTGAGCACTTGAATTCATCTTCATCCACAGTGGCTAAGTTTCCGAATACACTATCCGGGTACCCACAAAACCTTGTTCAAAACAGCAACATCAGCAGTCCTGCTCAGTCTCCTCAGTGGAGAAGTTCTGTAAGAACATCGACCTCGCAAGCTCCATCTTTGGCATCGTCGACGGCATCATCAATCAAAAATCTTCCTCAGCAGCAGTCCCGAACTCAACAAACGCGCACACAAATATCTTTTGGGGGAAATCAGAAACCATCTGCTGCTTCACAAGTGCAACCCCCTCCAAGTAGTAGCAATCAGGCACAGTCTTCTCCCATGATGGTTGGCTCACCTACAACCTCGTCCATCTCTAAAGTACCAAGTGGAAGCCCAAGAAATACAGGTGCTTCCACAAGCAGTAAAACTGGACAGGCTTCTTCATTGTCAACTCATTCAGCAAAAAACTCACAAGCAGTCCCGAGCCAGAAGTCACCATCAATTCTTGGAAACCCACATGTGATATCCTCTTCGAACAGTGGAACAAAACCTCAAATGCAACAACAGTCCCAACAGCAGCAGTTACCGAAGAATATGCAGCCAACACAATTGTTCTATTCACATCTGTATTCCCAAGCTCAATCTCCGCACTCAAACAGTATGAGTTCCACCACTTCAGGCTCCAGCGGGTACTACATGCAGAGAAGACGACCACAGCAGCACCAGCAGCCAACCCAGCATCCACCAGGTGCTCCTGTATCATCGGCTGCAATGTTGTCTTTGTGCCAGCCAGCTACACTGGCAAGTACAGGCACTAACGATCCTGCTAAAGCAATTGCTGCAGCCACATGCAATGTGAAAGGCGGTGGGTTACCAGCTCAAGGCATTATCCATGCTGCTCAATATGCTGCACAGTCAGGAAATCTCTTACCAGGCTTCTCTTATGTTCACACTGTTCCTGCTGCAGTTCCGGTGAAACCTGTGGAGCAGAAACAACCTGCTGGTTAGTGTTAACGTTTCTCTTTTAATCAAATTATGCTTTACATTATTGCAGCCCCATTGTAGGTGAAAAGGATCAAGTGTTTCTAAAGATTTAGAAATAAATTGGGACTCTGTATTTATGAAGTTGATTACGGTTTCTTGACCAGGAAATGATAATTTGCACCCCTGGCAGCCTGAGAAGAAATGAAAGATGATGCCATCAATTTTGCTCCCCCATGTGGAGAGACTGCCATGGCAAACATCATAATCATCGAATGAGCAAACCACAATTTTGGAAGTAGCACAAGGCGAGCCAAGCGATGGTGCTCCCTCCACAAAATTTTCTTCCTCGAGAATGAATGTGTATCGACTCAACATCCTTTTGAAGGGAGCTGGAGAGCTAATATTGATTGGTAAACCTGCTAATTGACTGATTGGTTTTGATTACAGAAGACTGGCCTTGGAAGGAAATGCTGACCAATGTTTTTGTATGTGTTCCAAGTAGCAGTAGTTTAAAAGACTACGGAAAGGCAGAAGTTCAGAAAATATTCCAGTCCGTAGGTAGTAGTGGATGTTCTTTTGTGAAAAAAACAGTATCTTTTGGACATATATGCATGTAATGGAGGGTGCATGTGTATGTCTGTGGCACATATAAGAGTAGCATCTGTAGCCCTCTCAATTCTTTTTATTAATTCTGGCCTACTATTAGTTGGATCATTGATAAATGTTTCTTCTACCTGTTTTTTTTGTTTGTTTGAACCCTCAACTTGGTCCCCATACTCGTATCATTGGTGCATGTCTCTGGCTGGTTCCACAAGGAATGCAATGGTGGGGATGGTTTAACAATATGCCCAGCTTGCCAGAAACTCGAGTCGAGTTGGTCGGAGGCATAACCTATTCAATTAAGGCCAAGAGGGCTTTGTTAACAGAAGGATGGGACGATTGATGCACACCATGGGCAGATCGGTTAAGCCAATTCAAAGTTCAAATACTATTTTTTTTAACCGTAATAACTGGAATATACGTTATTAGATTTGAAATTATCGCGGTAGCTGACACGAGACTTGTTTTCAAATTTGTCGTCGTTAAAGGATAGTACTCATTTCAATTATCAGATTCAAAGAGCTCGATATTATTATTTATTGGAATTACCTTGTATTAGATTTGGTAATATGTGCACCTGCTGTCTTTCTTGTAAGACGAATGTTTCAGCTCGACCCGATTGACACTGTGTCTGTATGAGAGAAATCTAGAGATGACAATTTCCCCGCCCCCTTTTGGGTATGCAGGTACTAAGAGTCCTCTCACTACCAACCAGCAGCCATCATCTGGCTGGGTCTTGCCGGTATCAACAACGAGAAAGAAACAACCAAATGGAAACAGCATCTAACTAAGGCTCTTGGCCCAGACAACGTCCTAGGTGTAGGGGAGATCGGAGCAAGAGGGAACGCCTAGACGACGTTTTTATTCCTGGGCTGCAGTAAGTAGATCGAGAGGTCGTTCCGCCCCTTGTCCCCTAAGTTGGTTAATATGTTCTCAACCATTCTTGCTCCAATCTGACCTAGCTGGCGAGCGATCCCAGTTCGCGACAGAGAACAAGACAGCAAGCGAGCGTACCTTTGTTCGCTTCTTCTCCACCAAGCACGGAAGTTTAAGGATAACTGTAGGTCGGTGGCTACCTAAGGAAACTCCGATTCGATCCGCCCCCCGGCTGGGAGGCATCTACCTCATCCCGATCACAAGGAGAGGTTCACTATGATGGGGGTACCTTTTTTTTCCCTTCCGGAAAGAATGAAATGCATAGGGGACCATCCTTTTGTTGCGGCATGCTCCTCAGATTTACGGATTCGCAGGGGGCCTCAGGCCCTACTTAGTTGACTGACAATGACAAAGGCTTGCGAAACTAAGTAGCGCCTTTTCCTTTTTGAATAACCCATTCTCATTATCTTTCATAAGTCAAGTAGGCACTCCCTAACCGGTCGCCTTAGTAGCGTTGACAAAGAAGAAGAGCCGGTTAAAAGACATCGAATCTTTTTTTTTATTTATATCTTTCTATTATTTAGATATAAAATAATAATAATAGAAAGATATTCTTATTTTATTTATAGGCCAGCTTGACAAGAAACCCTTCCTCTTGATCTGAGGTGCGAAGAGAAAGATCTCTTTTTTATGACTTCCACTTATCGATCCCGGCCCAGAAAAGTGACCGACCAGGGCCCTATTGATGAATGAAAGAAAGGGTTTATGAGCCCTAGCCCTGTAAGCCCACACCTGTGTAGAGTAGATCGTTCAACACCTGCGGCACAAACCTATTTTTGACCTATTGGTCCTAGTATCATAGGCGACCGAACGGCCGCCCCCTAATTACTAGACCGACCTGCTATAATAATTCCATAAACACCTAGCGAAGATATGGCAAACAAATAAAGTAGCCCTATGTTCGGATCTGACAATACCATACCATAATCAAAAGGTACAACGGCCCGAGCGACCAGACTTAACATAAATGTAGCCACTGGAGCCATTCTAAAAAGGGAGAAATTAGCACTACTTGGTGAAATAGGTTCTTTTAGAATCAATTTCAAACCATCTGCTAGAGGTTGTAACAATCCAAACGATCCCACTACATCAGGACCCTTTCGACGTTGCACAAAAGCCATTACTTTACGTTCAGCTAGCACTAAAAAGGCTACTCCTAGTAGAAGTGGTAGAATTATTCCAAGTATTTCAGCTGGAACAGCTATGTACATTTTCGATTTTCTATTCACTCATGATCTGGCCTGGTCGACCCAATCATGATATTGAAGGATGGGACCTTTTCTCTAAAAACTCCGGATCCCGATAAGAGTTGAAAATGGTGCAACATCGAATCCTGTTACTTCGAATGGAATCTTAGCCCGCCTCACTTGCTTTCTTTAACTGCATAAGGGCATAAGCGAAGTCAAG